AAAAAAAAAGGAAAAAAAAAAATTATAACTTCATCGAGCATCGGCAGATGTGAATGAGTCGGCAAAGCCCGAGGGCTTGGTCGGGATGCTCCCTTTGCTATCCTGACTCGCGTAGCTATAATCCCGAGTCAAACCTTCCTCCTCCTGCTGCCACCCCTTGAGCATCTGGGACAGGGGCAAATCCATGCTTACGCCCGACTCACGATCGATATCCTCATGGGGCCTCCATCTCTCGACCAGCTGGGCCAGCACACTAACCGCGTGGCCCATCTCTGGGCGGTGGTTGGGGTCGCGGGCCGTGCAGTGCCCTGCCAGGGTGGCGATCAGGTGTATGCTCTCGTGGATGTCCTCTTCGGCATTCAAAGCCGGGTCCACCGAGGCTATGAGGGAGTCCTTTTTCGATTTTATTTGCCAGAACCACTCAGCCAAGTACCGTTTTTCCTCGGGCCTTTGCTCGTCGAGAGCGGCTAGCCCTGTCAGGAGCTCCATGAGGACGACTCCGAAGCTGAACACGTCCACCTTTGTCGTGATTTTGCCCGTCACTGTTGAGGATATAATAGGAATAGAATAATTAGCTCATGCAAGACTGTGTGAGGCAGATGATGGGAGGAATTAGGATGATTCATCCGATTTGCCCGTGGCAAGTACAAAAAATAATCGAAAATGAGAACTGTGTTTGCATGAAAAATTTAAACGATTAGCCAGATTAAAGGCAAGAGTTTTGTCGATAAGTCCCCCTCTCTATTGTTGCTTTTAGAATGACTAATCCTCTAGACATTCTTGAACCAGAAGCACCCAATCGATCATCTCCTTGGTAGCAATTGCAAAATTCCCATCAAATTTCATATGCAAAGAAAAGGTTAATATTTTCTTCCATCCTAAAGCTTGTGATCAATTCCTATGCAAATGTTTTGCAGAAACTAGCTACCATAGGTGGGATCAGACTCACTTGATTTGTAGCACAAACATCATTCTGCCTATTCTACACGACGATAAGAAAATGCGGACAAAATAAACATTGCAACCCGCCACACACTGAAAAGTAAGGTGCAAATTCAGAAAAGAAATGTCCCCTTACCAGCATACTCTGGGGCAAGGTACCCGAATGTCCCAGCCAGCCTGGTTGCCATCGACATCTCCCTATCGGGCGCCAACTTCACCAGTCCAAAATCCGAAACCTTAGCCCTGAACTCATCATCCAGAAGGATATTCGCCGATTTCAGGTCTCGGTGTATGAAGCTGTGGTGGGCCAGGCTGTGTAGATACTCGACTCCACGTGCAACATCAAGCGCGATATAGAGCCTGCTCGTCCACGAGAGAGGCTCCAGCCCCAAGCTCTTCCAGCGGAAAAGGTGCTGGCTGAGAGCCCCCTGAGGCATGTACTCGTACACCAGTAGCCGCTCATCCCCCTCCACCGCATACCCCAAGAGGGACACAAGGTTCCGGTGGCGGACGTTCG